ACTCTGGGAGTGTCAGAGCGCACTCTGGGCACTCTGTCTGTGGAGATGGAGCATCAGAGCGCCGACCAGAGTGAATGTGCCATTAACTTAACCATTTGTTAATTCATTTAGAAATATAATGCTCCGTTTCTTCGACCAACAGGGCTCTCATTTTAGTGTAGAGCGTCAGACTGAGTTTACCAACGCACCATGTTAGGTCACTCACTCTCTGGGACCGCCAGTGTTAAGGGGCGATCACACAGAAATGAGACGCGGACGCTTGAAACGCTGGAAGTGCTTATTCAATGAGCGCTAGCTAGTGGCATCTGACGCTCAAAAAGTTGAAAATATTTTAACTTTTCAGCATCTAAAAAGACGCCGGAAAAACACCCATCTAAAAAGACGCTTGAACGCCGGTCAGACGCGCCGTATCATAGGAAAACAATGGTTTTACTGGCGTCGCGCTTCTGGCATTTCATCTCGGTGTGATCGCTCCCTGAGGCTACTTGAATAAGTAAACACTGACCAACGGGACCAGACTGGCCGACCGTATGCTCTCACTCAGTGGATGGATGATGTCACAGGAAGCCAATCTTACAAAGGAGGACCACACTTGTTTGTTTTGCTATGGAAGCTAACGTCAGCCAATGCACTAAAAAGTTAGCGTTCCAGAGAAATCCAATATTCCTCTTAATCCCTCCCTAGTTTCTGATGAGGTGGACATGATAACCCTTAATACACATAATGTTTGATTATCTTGAGTAACCGGATCATGATTTAATGAAGGAGACACTGCTGTTGAGTTTTTCAAATGTATTTTTTTGGCACTTTGAGCACAACAAGCCGAGTGCCAGATAGTTTCTTTATGTTGGAGAGAAGGCAGACATCACTATAGCCGATAGCACTAACACTTGACTCACACCAAAACAATCTAAATAGATAAAAAGCACAACAGGTAAAAGGAAAATAAGGATTTTTGATTTTGGGGTGAACTGTCCCTTTAAGAAGCATGTATAAAATATAATATTTTTAAGTACAACTTGTGCTCAAGCCATAATTATCTTCCCACAGCTGCAATCCCAACAAACAATCAGAAAACATGCTCACGGCAAGATAGTAGGAAAAAAAGTCTCCCACTGTTGTAGTATATTGGTGAGAAACCTCAAGTCCTGGAGCTGGTTAAAGATGTTTTAGACCGGTCTGTAGTGTCAGTCTTAAAGTCGCTGCTCTTACGTAAGTCTAATGCAAGTAGAGCTTCCTTTGAGCCTAAACAACGTCACAACCCAACCCCCAGGGTAAAACAGGGCTAAGAGCCATGTTTCCATAGTAACAATCAGTGACACCTGCTGACCAGTGTTTCCATCACACCTGCAACAAATGTGGTTTGATTTGTGGTTTGATTAGGATGTTGTGGAGTGAGCAAAGAGAAGGGACAAAGTTTAGAGGCTGCAGTAACCTGTTCAAAATATACAGCGGTGGATCAGGTATTTTACTTTAGTAAAAGTAGCACTACAGCATAAAGCTAATGGTAAATAAATGGACGTACATAACTCCTTTCTAGTCTTCCAACCACTCAAAGTGCTTTTACACTATGAGTCACAGTCACCCATTCACACACACATTCACACACTGGTGGCCGATGCTACAAGGTGTCACCTGCTACATAGCTTTAACACACACACACTGATGGAACAGCCATCAGGAGCAATTTGGGGTTCAGCATCTTGCTCAAGGATAGTTCGACATGCAGATTGGAGGTGCCGTGGATCAACCACGTACACACACTAATTTTGGTGTAGGACTGTTTGTGAAAATGTACCCAGAATTCATGGCAAATTAGTCCCACTTAAGATAGATGGATGACCAGTTTGATCTAAGCCACGGTCAAAGTCTGAACAAGAGCTAAGGTTAGTTTTGGCAGTAGTGGTTATGTCTGTAACATAAAGTCATCAGTAATGCTGTTGTATTTTCTGAAAATGTATTTTCTGACACGTTAAACACTGCAGCCAAAATAAAAAACAATAAATCAAGTCAAAGAGGTGAGTGTTTTTTTTAGCACCTGTCAAAATGTTGACATGTCTATTTCCATCCCGCCGCTCCCCGGAGCTGTCGTTAAAGCTAACCTACGCGCACACAGGCTGTGACAGAGACCCCCACACTGAGCATAGAGCAGCCCAGCACTGAGGAAACTGGGAAATGTGAACATGGCAGCTGCCGTGCCACCACATTTGACATGTGGTTGCTGGTGAGCGCTGTGCAACTGTTCCCATGCGTTTAATCCACTCTGAATGTTTGTTTATTTGGCGCCGGTGCATTCCTGTGTGACAGCCACTAGTGCACAGCCATCAACACCAGGCTCAATGTCTTTATTTCACACTAACTTTAGAGCAATGTTTTATTCAGCCCAGCTGTGGTTTCCATTCAGGAAGGCCAGCTACCTCACTGCCTTTTTATTGTTCTCCACCCACTGCATAACTTCCCTCAAACTTATTACAACACTGTGTTTTAACTGTTTGGATTTCATCATTTGAACAGTCCGGTCTTGTCCTGGGGTCTGCTGCGCTCACAGATAAAGTATTTAAAGCTGAGGCAATGAGCTGTGCATGCTTTTAGGGAAGTGTTAGTTCTGTGATTAATTATTTCCTTTTCTCTGAGCAACATTTATGTGAGCTCATCACAGTTATAAACCTACACTTGTAAAGACTGATCAATAATGAAAATACTAAATCTCTTTGACATAATTAGGAATCAGTCAACATTATTTCTCAGTATAACAATGACCTTTGAAGCCAAATGTATGACTTCATGTCTCATAGTTAGACTGTATTGAATACATATACATAATCATTGTTTAAAGATACAGAGTCACAAATAGAAGATAATCTATGACTGAATACAAGGAGATACTATCTAAATCATAATTAGTGTAAGTGTTGAGCAGAGCAGTGTGAAGCCTTTGAAACCGGGAGTGACATCATTTTTCTTGTGCTGCTTTCAGATGCCTTTTGCAAGTATTTAAACCTTTGAACCCCAAACAAATTGATGAGATTTCTCATAAAAACATGGGAAAAAATGCCATGAGAAACTTGGAAAGAAATGTCCCACAAATTGCAATAAAATAATAGATTCAGAAAATTATTAAAAAAAAATAAAAACCAGGGAAGAAAGAGGGAAAAACTATATTCACAATTATTATTATTATTATTAGATATTCAAGATTATGGTACAGAATTATGATATTTTTAAGCATTTTTTCCAGGCCATTTCCTTACTTGTTTGTTTTTAACTTTCTTTCTTTTTTTAAAACTAATTTTCTTATTTTGAATTTCCTATTTTTACTAATTTCTTGCAATTTTTTGGGGTCATTTCTTCTTTCGTTGCTCATTGCTTTCAAAAGGTTCAATAATACCATCCACATTCTCGGAACCCATCGGCTGTATTCGGTGTCTGACTTCCGGCAGATGGCGATACAGCCTCTGGGGGCAGACCCCGATTTTTTTGCATTCCGGTTTGATTTGGGCGGAGGAGGCCAATTTCCGTTTCCTACTTCCGTTTATATGCAAGTAAATATGCTGAACCATTGCGATGGATACAGAGTTTGCAGTGACGCCAGTTATGTTCCGCCTCGTTAGTTCACCGCACGGACTGTTTAACCTGGCAACAACTGCAGCCGGCTCAAACGTGACTGGTCAATATCACGCGGACTACAAACAGGCTACAACCGGAAACCAGGGCTCTTCCGCTCTTCTTCCAGAGGCAAGATCTCCGGGGTTTGCCTACAGATATAGAGACAGATATACCATCCATGGTCAGCAAACCTAACTTGAATGAATTAGGTGTTAAAAATGTTTAATTCTTCTTCATAATTTTCAAGTTAATACTATAATTATCAGATATTAAAGCCACAGTAGACAGTTTAATTTTTGGTGTCATCACTCAAAGCTTCTATGATAAACCTTGAACATATTGTAATTCAAGTGGACTGAGAGAAGACTTCTTCACCTCCTCTTGGCTCTGTTTTCAGGCTTTAGAAAATCTAGCCTGTGATGGGAGTCTTTGGTCAATCACAGGTCATTTTAGAGAGAAGGCGTTCCTATTAGTTGTTCTACAAATGCAGATGCACGTCCATGTCCCTTCAGTAAAAGTCTGATTTAATGACAGAGAATCCTGCAGAGAAGGATGCTATTCAAGCATTGGCAACAACTGCAAAGCAACCCAGAAAAGGAAGACGCACTTTTCTAAAAGAGAGTCTGAAGATAAAAGAAATAAAACCTGTCAATATCGGCAAAGCGTTTCAGAGATGGAGAGAAAATGTCACTAATAGTTTAACCATCTGCTAACTAGACGTAAAGGCTCACAGCAGCTTCAAGCTCATGTTTATGTAGCTGGCATTAGCTAGAGCCTCAAATGACAGGGTCCTCCAACTTACTCCATGCAGCCTTGGATCATCTTTGCGGGAAGCAGCAGGCAACAGCTCCAGCTACAGACCCCCAGTCTGTCATCAGTGCTGTTGCCCAGCGACGAATCCTCAGATGCCCCATTACACAGGTTAGACCCGGTGCTGCAGATGGTCACTAGCCTTTTGGGACATGGGGCACTGGGTTGGTTTGCACTGGGTGAATGCACGCCACTGCACCTGTTGACCCAAGGTCTGTCTCCCAAGCTGCAGTGTACACTCAATCTGGGGAAGCAGTCCAGAGCGACAGAGGGACCGTGGGGTGGCTGGCTAGGTAAGTCTTGTGGTCTGACAAACAAAGAAACAGAAAGCAGGGAAGGGATGGAGGGGATGAGCAGACATGCTGCGCACAACTCAACAATTAAATAAGATTAAATAAATCAATATATAGGAAACACTGGGTTACTGTATGAAGCACGTGCATGTGCCCGTGGTCTCCTGATGGGAGGGGTGTGGGACAAAGTGTAGAGAGCTGCAGGAGGTCGTATTTTCAACTTCTGCCAAACAAACACACAAGAGTTTTCATTTTCACCTTTCAAACTTTATTAATGTGTTTGTTTTGCTGGGGGAAATGGGCTGAAGCAACGGGTGGAAAAAAAGCACGGACTGTCAGATCCTCTGTTGGCCATCAGCTCTCTGTGAGCTCCAGAGTCCTTTTCAAACAGGCAGAGGTTTGACAAGAAGCAGGACTGCTGCCCTCTGGGAAGGGAAGAATCGCGTGTGAAGGACAGGAGGGCAGTTTTTAACACAGTGAGATGTAACTGAGATCCATTATACCCTCAACCACAGGGCCATTAAAATGAACAGTAGGTCGTATAAAGCACCCGGTGAGTGTCATGATTTCTGTTCATTCGCACTTGTGTGGGCAATTAGTTTCATGTGTGATGCTATTAGTTAGGTATGGGAGTTACTACTGTGGTGTTAGTGCGCAGCCAGTGGGAGAAACCTCAATGTCAGAGAATAGTAGGAATGCACTTTATGGAGGAGAAAATCTTGTCACTGGGGCAAGACATATTACAGGCACACAGAGGGTACTGTCGTCATTGTAGTTAAGTTTAGTCCTCTTAAACTCCACGTTAAAGCAGCTACAAGGAGTTTTAACTGGTTATGAAACAGTCTATTCATTACTTATGCCTCTGTATGACCTATATAAGCAAATGAAATCAGTAGCATCAAGAATGGCCACTTCTATATACTTATTGTTAATGCCTGTTGTAATGCCTAGCTAAAAGCAAACAAGATGAGATTTTCTTTTAACTGGTGAGTTATATAAAAATTCACCCCCGTACAGATGTCATCAACAGGAAAATTAGCCACAGACACCAAAATCGTTTTTGCACCAGGCTGTGAACGTGTTTATTTCTGCTGTAAAGTTGGATGTTTAAACATGGGGGTCTATGGCCTCAAGTGGCTATTTGCGGAACTGCAGTTTTTGGCACTTCTGCTTTGGCTTAATTTTTAAGCCCTGTAGGTTGCCACATGAAATATACATCACATCAGCATTATGCCTCCTGCAGACAGCTGTGTTTAAAAATTGAACGTAGCGTTAGTTCAGGCAGCTCACATCCCAGCTACATCAGCTGAACTCCAACAGTCCAATCAACTGATGGAGCAGCTGATTGATGGAAAGGAGTCAGCTGATAGATCACATGATTCCTTTCTATGCAACCAATTGGTGAATCTCATTCATGGCACCCTATTTAAACTGCTCTGGCCTGCCTACTGTTGCTGCTTCATCTGCAAGCCGCTTTGCAACCTGCCTCCACCCCAGTTCTTCCTTTTTATGTTGTGTCTGACTTATCACTGTCATTTCTGTTTGTCATTGATGCTGCTCTGTTCTTTTCCTTTTGGGTCATTCCTCCTGCTCTCCCTGCCTTAAGTGCAACACACACCACCACCGGCGCGGCGCTGTGGCCGTCAAGTCCCGCCCCCCGACACACACTGGCAGCGGCGCGCAGCGGAACCGTTAACGTGTATTTCCCACCCCAGCCCTCTAGGTGGCTGTACCTACACTAGTTGCCAACGGTTGCCAACTGCTAGTAACGGAAAAAGAAGAGGAAAAACTTTGAGGCAACAGCAACTTGGATTTCACGGGTGAGTTTCTTATCAGAGTCGTCTTATTAAAAATTTGAAACAACCGGTTTTGATACTACGGCAGCCGAAACGTACATAAAAGGCTTTTCTCGCAGCGCCGCCATGAGCGCCGGCTGCCGTAGTATCAAAATAGTGCCCACTGCTCTATGGAAATAGAGCAGTGGGCTGAAGCAGAGCGGCGCGGCGCGTCGGCTGGCGCCAGTGTGGGTTGCTTCATAGAATATAATGGAGGCAGGCGTTTTGACGCGCGGCGTATGGCGGCGGTGTGTGTTGCACTTTAGGCTTTCCATGTAGGCGCATGGAAGGGCAGGGAGGTGTGCTCTCTCTGCCTCAGGCTTTCCTCGTATGCTTATGGAAGGGCAGACAGGTATGCTCACTCTGCTTTATGGCTTCCCACATAGGCGTGTGGAAGAGGCTTTCTGCGTAGGCCCGACGAAAGGTGGAGAGGCCCCAAAACAGAGCCATACTGCCACATATAATACTGCAAATGGAAATAGTTTTCTTTGGCTTAAGTGTTCCAGAATGAATTAAAAAAAATAGTCCTCAAAATAAGTTGTGTCTTTGTTTCACTTGCTTCCAAGAAAACAACCAAAAATACACATGCTCACTATCTTTAAGACATTTGGCAGTGGTGCTCATGGGAGATGGTCTTCATTCGGGGACACACTACCACCTTTGTCCACAGGGTTCACCAAACTCAACAAGTTCCTTGTAGTTGCTTTAATGTGAAGACCACGGTCCTGGTTCAGCAATGGAAAATGGTGCTAAACCATGAGCAATTAACTTAATGTCTCAGTAATTCCCTAATTTTAACAAGGTGCTGTTGTGTAAGTTGCCTGAAATAGCCATCATTACACTTCAGCAGCCAGGAGTGGATCTGGTGGGGAACACAAATGAGAGACAATCACAGATATCTTCAATGTCTGTCTCGTCTAAAGTCTAAAATCTTGCAAATGTATTAGCCAGTATAAATTAGACAGCCATGTGCTTCCTTTGATTGACATTAAAGAGGCTGCCTGGGTGCGTCTTTTCACAGAGATCCACAGTGCTCCCCTGTTGCTATACAAAGTCTTGGCGTTGAGCACTTCCTGTAACACTTGGTAGCTATAAATCAACATGCATTAAGAGCAAAGAGATGTGCAAAAAACATTTGCATACATTTTGGTGGTGTCAGTATTGATTTATAACACCCAAAGTGATGCTGCCAAACTGTACTTCATAAAGTAAACATATTCAGTTTGCTGTAAGGACAATAAGAGCAGCAGATGCGTGGAAAAAAGAAGCTGCAGCCAGAGAATATTTGACATTTTTGCTTAATAACGACTTAAACAATGAATCCACTACCAAAATATCAGCCAATTATTTTCCCTTAGTAGACAAATAATCAATGAATCATTTCAGCTCTGGTTAATATGACTCACATTTCAAAGACTGTTGCAAAACACTGTGAAGCCTTTGTAGCAACACCAGCCGCACATACCAGGTAAATTGCACAACTCTGCAAAATGATTTCATATTGAGCACCCTGCAGTTGTTCCCCTGTGTTGTTCACTTTCACACGAAGACTTTATGTAACATCAGATGTTGTCAGCGCAGACTGACGGTGCAGTTAGAGCACCAGAAGTATCTCAAAATGTCTAACAGGAAATGATTCAAGGTGTGAGCCGGTGTGTATCAGTCGGGCTGTGAGTTTAAAACACTGTTGCCAATTATGAGTGTTAATCAGAGATGCACACGAGAAACACTGAACACAGGTTGTTTCATGAAGTCAAGATGAAGGATGCTGCTGTAGGTTTCTCTGTATGGTTTAAGGCAGGTGTGGCGTAGAGCAGAAAATGTAAGCTCCTTTTGTCGTTGCCATGCTGAGTTGTTTAACGATAAACAATGCAGGCAAAACCTCCTCTCTGCTGGCACCGTTAAAGCCAGTCCAAACTGCAGAGGAGTGAAATAAAACCTGCTATAAAACCAGCGGAAATTTGGCACAGATAGATTTGCCAAACCCCTCAGCTGGCCTCACAGGGCTTCAGCCGTGAGACCTGAATGTGGAGTATTGTTATTTTACTGTCGACTAATTACTCTGGTTCCTGTGTGTGTGTGCGTCTGTGTGTCAGGATGTGTACACAGGAAAGTGTTGGTACTGTACTATGACTGTGTGTATTTACTGTACATGTGTGTGTATAAGTGTGTGTTGAATGAATTCATCTCTCAGCGTTGACTGAAAAGACCTACTGCTTGCACACATCTCGTCACAGCATTCAGTTCTTTACCTGCACGATACAACTTAATTACAATCTGCTGCGTCAGCCCAGTCACCAGAAGAAGAAAATGTTGGCACTGTATGTTTCTGCAAACCCTGAAAATGTGATATTTCATATGAATCATATCAACGTTTCTAAAGTGACGTAGTATATGAGCTGACTGTCAGTGGGAGGAGGAGGAGATGGTGGATGGCGTGACATCTGGGTGAGAAAGCTGCCAATGGACAACTGTTCGAGACCAACAAACAATAAAACTGCATTTCCAGCAGCTTTTTAGCCACTAAATGTGGTTGGTGTTTTTTACCAAGACATCACTGCGTTTCCTGCCAGTTAGCTGGAAGCAAAACAGGACTTACCACAGGGCTGTAGGCTACATAGGAGTCTTAAAATATCATCTTGTTGTGTTATTGGGTGCTGGAATATGAGTCATGAGTCATTAAATCTGAACACATACCAGCCGCCACCGCCCGTCAACACGAACAAAGACAGCTATGGTTAAATGTGATAAGACCAAAGGACTGGACGGAGGCCATCATCAAAAATGCTCACATGTGCAGCGCACACTTCATATCAGGTTAGGGAAAAAGTATTTCCTGTTGTAGTGATGAATAACGTTATGTGTATTACGGGTTATCATGTCCACCTCATCAGAAACTGGGGAGGGATTAAGAGGAATATTGGATTTCTCTGGAACGCTAACTTTTTAGCACATTAGCTAACATTAGCTTTAATAGCAAAACAAACTGGAGGAAACTGTTCCAAGAGTCGTTCTCCTTTGTAAGATTGGCTTCCTGTGACATCATCCATCCACTGGTCTAGTTGGTCAGTGTTTACTTATTCAAGCAACACTTGCAGTCACGGAAAGTGAGTGGGGTCTGCCCATTGGTCCAACAGCCCATTATTCCGACATCACATTGGTCCAACCATATTAAACCCGTTGCTCCGAAATCATCATGATGCCCTGTGGTTAAGGTCTGGTTAGGTTTAGACACAAAAACCACTTGGTTAGGGTTAGGAAAAGATCATGGTGTGGGTTAAAATGAAAAAGAAAGTGGCAAACACATAAGCTGTGAGCCTGCTCCACCTCAAGCCTTTCCCTGCTGACCCAGAGCTGGTCGCGGTGCACCATCAAGGCAGAAATACGCCCGCTGGGAGCCGTTCAGCACCGCGGAGAGCTCCCCACACAACCCCGACCCCAGAGTTGATAACAGGAAGTTATGGTGTTACACTCTCTCCTCTCTATGACACTTGTATCTTGACCAGTAGCCTACTTTTGTTGCGTTTGCTGATCCTCTATGGTACACAAATACAGTATAGCCTAGTATAATCACATATTGGAACAACGGG